GTTGTCAAAACGTCTGATACTATATGAACCAAAATTTAGGAGATCCAATGCAAAATGAGCTTAAAGGGGCCTGGACAGAGTTGCATTGTTTACATTGTAAGGACACGAGCTCTGTTATGTTAAACTTACTTTTACGTTTTACCGGATATGTTCAATCTGTTTACTCTGCACATGCCACTGAGCACTGACTGATGATACTAGAGAGTTGGTTTTGCTTTCTTGCATTTGTATTACTTATAAATTTTCTATAATATATTTTTATTTTTCGCTAATACACTACAAAATTTCCACTTCACTAAAGCATTGAGGATAAAATTTACTTCTTGATAGTGCAATGATAGGTATCAATTATCATAAGATGAAAAACACTTGAAAATGACAGGGATTGCCAAGTGTACTCAGACTAATGACACAATGTGCCGTGACGTCAACGATCTGTTAAGGCGACAATAATAACCCCGGGAAAGAGTGGAATAATACTATGCAGGTTGGCTACATACTGACAGCTGAACTCAATTAAAATTAAAAAGAAGATACACGTATTTCATTTTGATAAATGGCTTTAACTTTGATTGGTTAAATTCCACCAAACGCGTCTTGAAATTCTTAGTTACAATTATTTCAAGATAAAAATGTTTTAATTATATTTTGGCGTGAAATGCCCTAGCAACATATGAGTAATGATATAATACTTAAAATTTTAGAAAATATTAGCTTCAAATCTGTGTCCAAACCTCTTTTCAATCAAATGTACATCTGGTTGTGCAAACACATACATTAACATGCATGTAAATCTAAATTTTTAAAATCTAAACGATTTTAATGCTACCATACATACTAATACTAAAACGGTATAAAATGAACAAATATTCACAATTTTGATGGACTAAAATCGCATAAAATTACACAAAATACTAATAAATTTGAAAAAAAAATATTGTTCCAACTTGAAGGAATACCAGATGAATCATCAAAGGAGAATGAGAAGTAAAAATGTTTTATGAACGTGTCCAATATGTTAACAATGGTAATGTTCGATAATGATATTAACAGGAGTGTTCGAATAAAGGATTCCCAGAACCTTACATAGAAATAAACATTTTTTTACTTACAGCAATAATTTGATAATATCCATCTTTTCACTCATATTAAATTTTAGTTTTACAGCAACTTAACTGGTAGTTAAGCATACCTTGCGAGGCAGAATTTGCAGCAATGGTTTCTTTAAAATACATTTCTGTTTTACGGTACAACAGCAAAAGCTTATTCATTTACAAAAATAAACCGAGAGCACATCTTCTTACAAAACTGGAAAAACGAAGGTGTTTGTCACATTTTCAACTGATATAAAGTCATGTAATCCTTTACTTTGTGTAGTTACAGAAAAATACTCGACAGCCTCGCCATCTACTGATATGAGAGTGAGACAAGAGGCCCATAGATCACACCGCCCACCTGCATAATTTTTGCCCTACTGTTTTTCAGCAGATCCCCCTTGTAATACTTATAGTTGCCCCACACTATCGGAAACGAAAAGTATTACCGTAAACCTTAAACCTTACCGTAGATGAAAAGATCTAAGAACGTGAATGGGCAAAATGTAAAAAAAAAAAAAACAAACAAAACAAAACAAAACAAAACAAAACAAAAAAAAAAAAACCAAGAGGAGAGCCAGGGGCCACATCGCTCACCTGAGCAACTGGCTAGGTAAAAGCAAAAATCAATTCAGTATTGAAAAGCTTAAATATAAAACTGGTTATGGAGAGGGGGGGGGGTATTTGAACAAACTTAAATCTACACTTCCTAAGGACGCTTTTGAATTTATATGACACATATTAGCCTTGTTATTTATAAGATGAAAATTATTATTGATAAAGTCTTTACATTCTTCTGATGGCTCCTCTATTCTCCCAATTGTCACGATGTGAACAAGTTTAAATTTACATTACCTATTTTGATGCTTGTACGTTGATGATCAATCATGGCTTTGTTGTTTTTATGAAGAATTTTAACTATTTTTATCATGTATTTCTACGTAAAACCTTGACCACACCTTGTGGGCCCACACTTTCCCCGGGGATCATAATCTGAACAAACTAACATGTACACTACCTATGTAAAATTTTGATCCCCTAATGTGCCCCACCCTACCAAGGGGATAATGATATGAACAAACTTTAAGCTACACTACCAGAGGATGCTTCCATATAACTATGACCAATCATGGGTTTGCTGTTCGTGAGCAAAAGATTTGATTTTTCCTCTATATTCCTATGCATGCTAAACTTTGATACACCTTTGTGGCCAAACCCTTCCCCCGGGGTCATGATTTGAACAAACTTTAATCTACACTACATAAGAATGCTCCCACGTGAATTTTACCTTTACTGTCCCAGTGGTTCTTGAGAAGAAGATTTTTAAAGATTTTCCTATGTATTCCTATGTTAAACTTTGATACCCCATTGTTGCCCCACCCTACCCCTGGGGGTCATGATTTTAACAAAAATGAATCTACAACACTTGAGGATACTTCCACATTAATTTCACCTTTACTGGCCCAGTGGTTCTTGAGAAGAGGATTTTTAAAGATATTTCCTATGGTATTCCTATGTTAAACATTGATACCCCATTGTGGCCCCATCCTACCCCCGGAGGTCATGATTTGAACAAACTTGAATCTACACTACATGAGAATGGTAAATTTCACTTCCAGTGGTTCCTAAAGTTTTTTTCATCTTTTCTATGGCCCAGTGGACCTTGAGATAAAGATTTACATAAAGATTTTTCCTAGTGGTTCCTATGTTCAAAAACATAAATTTTTCACCAATTCACAATTATCTCCTCTTGGAAGAGGGAATAGCCCTTTATTTGAACAAACTTGAATCCCCTTCACCCAAGGATACTTTGTGGCAAGTTTGGTTGAAATTGGCCCAGTGATTCTTGAGAAGAAGATGAAAATGTGAAAAGTTTACAACAACGACGACAACGCCAACAAGGACGACAACGACAGACAACGGACACATTTTGATCAGAAAAGCTCACTTGAGCCTTCGGCTCAGGTGAGCGAAAAATTACTGCAACGCGCTCGTCAAAAAGATCTTTGCTTGAATCAGTATTGCATTGCCCGAACGTGCAATATGAAAGACCCGGCCGAGGTGAGAGGGTACCCTCCTTAATTTTTCCAAACATACAGTCAACTCGTCCCATACGGTAATGTGTTAATATAATTTACATATTTGTGAAAAAAAATTAAATTATCCCCCTCACAGGAAATACGATTTTCGAGTCATGACATTTTTTTTTCTCACGGCCTTCCCCTTTCAAAATCGATATATGCCTGCTGAGCGTGCTGGCAAACTCTTTGAAGCAATGTATTCCAATACTTTGCAAAAGAATTGAATATGTGATAAAAATTTGAAGAAGCATGAGGTCAACGGACCTTTTGGGTACCTGAGTATCATGCAACAACTTTCCAACAATTGAATTTGGTTAGTGTTTTAAGAGATCATGTACTCACAATTTTGAAAGAAGAACCAATGCTAATCATAACAAGCGAATTCAAAGAATTGTGGCCCCCGGCTTTCGATGTGTTTTGGGGTGAGGTGTCAATTTTTATCGCATATTGTGTAAAATATGAACGCCCTATCAATTTGTCGCCAAAATTGACTTTTTGAGAAAATTAGGTCAGCTAACTATTGGACCACGTGCACGTAATTCAAAATTTTTGAAGAGGAGCCATTGTTCATCATAAATGTTTGCTTGATACATGTACCTAAATGTAGATTTCAAAGCATTAGGGCTAATTCATTTTCAGTATATGATCATAAGAACCTCTGACACTGGGGCCATGCATTTTAAAAGTTAGGTAGAGGACTCAATGCTTATTATAATAATGCCAACAGCTTGACTGCTTAATGTCCAGGTGGAAAGAAGATTTTTAAAGATTGCATTAGTTTTAAATAGTGGTTTTGGTTCCCACCCCTCTAGCCCCAGGGGGAAAGACGGGTTTCAGGGATCAAGAATTTCACAATTTTTGTTCAATCTTCAATCTTCACTCATAGATGCTTTATGCCAAATTTGGATGAAACTGGTTCAGCGGTTTCAGAGAAGAAGAAAAGAATAAGTCATGAGAGGTCATGATTTGAACAACTTAGAATCTACAATACCCCTTGATGCTTCCACATAAGTTTCATCTTTTTCTAGCTGCAGAACTGTAGCTCTCTGTTTGAGAAAATTCGGAAAGATATATCCGAATTTTCTGAAGCAGAGAGTTATAGTTCTGCATCTACAGCTTTTCTGGCCCAGTGGCTCTTGAGAAGAAGATTTTAAAAGATTTTCCCTGTATGTTTCAATGTAAATCTTGGGATTTCCTATTGTGGCCCCACCCTACCCCGGGGGTCATGATTCGAACAATTACATTGTACACTATACCCCCAGGATACTTCTACGTAGGTTTCAGCTTTTCTGGCCCAGTGGTTCTTGAGAAGAAAATTTATAAAATATTTTTAGATTTTTCCTATATATTTCAATGTAAGACTTGGATTCCCTATTGTGGCCCGTACACATCGCCCTACCCCCGGGGTAATGATTTTTACAATTTAGAATCTACACTAACCATGGATGCTTCAACATAAGATTCAGCTTTTCTGGCCCAGTGATTCTTAAGAAGATTTTTGATAAACCCAACCTATTTTGTCTTCTCTTGATTATCTCCCCTTGGAAGGGGTCTTGTTCATTCATTTTGGCAATTGAAACTCTCCTTCAACTAAAGATGCTTTGTACCAAGTTTGGTATTAATTGACCTAGGGTTCTTGAGAAGAAGTTAGAAATGTGAAAAGTTTACAGATGGACGGACGGACAAAGGGTGATCAAAAAACCTCACTTGAGCTTTCAGCTTAGGTGAGCTAACAATCATGGACTCTTTTAGGGGTGAACATGATTTGCTATTCACCAGAAAAATATCAAAATTTGTTTTTCCGACTCCCGACTGATTACCCCCTTTACAAAGACTTATTTTTAGACATTTCCGTCTCCTTCTCTCCCTTTGCATGTTTGCAGGATAAAGATTTGAGATTTAGTGGTAATCCAAACGCTAAGTATAAGAATATGCCATGACCACCATTGAAAAGGGTATGCAAGATTGAAAATAGCTGAAATTCGGTGAACTGAGCCAGAAACCCAAACACCCAAGCCACACCAACGATTGTAGAAAGCCGGAAGTATGCACTCAATTTACTCTTATCCTTCGACTTCCGGATGTCTGCCTTGCCGCAGATCCTAGATAACGTCACCAGAAACATAAAACAATTTATACAGACGAGCAAACCAACAGGGAGTGCAAAAGTAAAGAGCGTCATGTTTGGGTCAGCGATGTAGCAAGTGCGAGGAGAGTAACCCAGGCTTTCCCCATCACTCCGCATAAAGGTTACAATGACGTTGACAGCGATAATTGCCAGACATAGAACTGCATCTAATAGCAAGAAAAGCAGTACTGTTTTTCTGTCTTTCTTATGTATGTATGAGAATGTTGTAAATGATTGGAAGATTTGGAACGTAGATAAACTCATCCAGCATACGACAGAGAGCCAAAGGAAATGAACCAACATGCCGATCCCGACACACAAGGACTCATTCCAAAGAAAAAACTTAGAGAAAGTGTAGACTGTATTTGCTAAAACTGACAAAACAGCTAAAGTAATGATGTTGATATCTGCGATTGATCTGTGGGATTTGTTGAGAAGAAAACTAAATATAGTTACCAAGGAAGCTATGGAGGACAGAGAGAGACAGAAAATTGAAAAATACTTCATTACGCGGTCTTCTGAAAAATCCCATCGACTGCTTGTTTGGCTCATAGTTTTAAGATACTGGTCGACACATATCTCTACGCTGCGTTTACCTTTGGGTTCTTTAAATTGATTCGAAGAGAAGCAGGCTTGGTAGTCTACAAGACATACAGAGAAGTTTGACACATCTATTTTGGCGTCTCTTGTTCTCACCTTTACTTTTGGACAGCGATACCAATCAGTTACGACTACTGCCATGTCTTTTTCGAAACATAGAGGCCGATTGGGGTCATAATCATAACCATCTGAAACTGCTGTATCCGTAAGTAAGTACATTTGTTCTCCATCCATTGGGTTAACATAGAGACGGTTGATAATAGCTATCCCAAATAAAGAATTACTATGGACATGAAATCTTTGTCCAACAACAGAAATATTGACATGCACTTGGCGCATCAGCAATTCTGAATATATCGCCATTTCCTGTATCGAAAACACATTGATCAATCTCTTTATCATTAAGTCTACATCGTGAAAATGACCTACCGATAGTTCTAGGACAACAGCTATTAAATCTGTTTTATCCGAAGCTAATATTGAAACCTTACAGAGATATTGTAATAAATTATTATTGAATAAAACATCAAATATAGCTAAATGGACCTCATTTAAAAAGCCGTTCATGATCTTGAAGTCTTCTTGTCGGGTGACCATCAGATTCAGTTCGTAATTGTTTTCCCCAATCATTGGATAACGAGGTAGACAGGTTGAGTTTCTGTACAGGTAATCTGCTTCACATTTAATATCTAGGCACTTGGACTGAAATAGGCAAATCAAATTACTAAACTGTATAAAATCAACATGTGCATTTATGATGCATTCGCTAGCTTCGAAGATAGTCAACTTGGAACACTAGCTTCGGAGCGATTAGGAACAAATTATAATGAATCTTTTTGTCTTCATTGCTTGACTTTCATCGGATGAAATGCTTTTAAAATTAAAAAAAAAAATCAGGTAATAATGAAAGAATGATCTTTAAAACATCATGAAAATAATCCGAGTCCCAGCAGAGCAGGAAATTTGACCGATTATTATTTTGTAAATTTTGAATTTACTAGGGGGAGAAAATGCGTTATCATGTTGTAAATTTTGCATTTACCTACCCCTTATAAACTCAAAATTTACAACATGAAACTATGTTAATAACATCATCATTTAAAAAAACTGAATTTTTTAACATAAAAAGAAAATAGTAACGAGCACCTACCATCTTGCTGTCATATATTTGATTTGTTGCGCAATTAGAATCTTTTTTGGGCTCCATGCTTTCCTCTCTGTTGAAATCTATCAGGGCCGTAAAAGTCGGTAACATGGAATCAATGACGAAAATTGATCCATCTCCGATATTTTGAATTGTTAGCCCAAAGAATGCTTCTTCACAAAGGGCACAATATATGTTTTTATAAGTTTTATCAATGGAGGTGTAAGGTAGGTAGTAGTCCTGACAAGCAGCTTTAATGTGTCTCTGAAATTCTTCCGGTAAAAATTTGCAAATAGGATCAACTCTAACTGTATACTTTAGACAGGGAAGAACTTTCTTTTGAATGGATTTTGGTGGACGGAAACCTATGTTGCAAACAGGATTGCTCATCAAAAATACAGATAGGTAAAGGGTTTCAAGTGTGTGTTTTGAAAAAAGCGCGGAACGATTCTCGCAAATCTTGACGCTCTCCCAAAGAACGAGATCCGGAATAACTTCATAATTACATAACGCGCATTGAAAATTTAGATAAGTTTCATTGGTTAACAATGACGTCACTGGCGTAGCATACGAAATATTACTAGACTGAGAAGACAAGCAATTAGCGCCACTTTGACAAGTTTGAATAATCCAATATGCGGTACCGGATGCGATTTTTGATTCTATATTCCATAATGGTTCAATACAAGACATCGGGGGTCCTCTCTGTACTTCCTCTACAACTGGCATGTATTCAATGAAATCTGGAGTGATATCCTGTCTGTAAAATTTAGAGGGACAGCAAGTAGCTCTCCTCACGCAGTCATCGTCACATTCACAAGGAACACACGAGGGTTGTCCTGTGAAAGTAAAATTTCGTTTGAAGTTTTTGCCAAGACACATATCTTGTTCCGGACATAGTAAAAGGTAAAACGAAAGCATGGTCCGTGTATTATTATCGTCGATCCATAAGGTTAGTTCTTCAGCTTCATCAATGTCCCAAGCAGTTGGATAAAGAGGAACATTACTGAAATCCGAGAAACTCTCTACAGCAACGCTTACAGTTAATGCAATAGTATATAAAATGGAAATCTGAAACCCAAAAGAGAAAATCATTTGCCTCCTGTCATTTAACTAGATGCCAAAAAGAATAAGCTTTGTTACATCGTACTTAAAAATATTGCGTATTTCTTTTTCTCAAAGAGCGCCAAATTTGTTACCAAGTTAACGAACTTTGAAAAATTAAAATTTCTTTTCAAAGTGCGTTAGATTTGATTTTGAGGGGGTCGCAATGGGGAGAGAAGGGTGCTGGCAATTTCTTGCGAGTCAGATTTTTATTTTCATGTCGGTGAAGGACAGATTATTTATTTCAAATAAGATCAAAGACAAATTATTTAATTTCTTCTTTACTGAAAAGTCTAACGTGCCAAATGGAAAAAAAGTTCAGGGACCACATACTTTACCTGAGCATTGGCTGGAAAAAAAAACCAACATAGGTAATCAAAGATTATGAAGCTCATCTCGACGAACGTTATCAGTTTAAATAATGCAAAATTCACATTATATTTTCTTTATAGTCAGTATGTATCCTGATAACAATATTCATGCAAGTTCTGTTAAAGTAGGTCTTATAATTCACTGTTGACCTGTTCCAAAATCACTAATCGAGAAAATGTCTTTTTTTCCCTTGCATCCAAAGCAAGTCTGTAGATGCATCATCCATGCAAGTTAAATCCTAACATGCCATAAAATTACCGAGATACTCCAAAAACATGAGCCAGCTGGTCACTCATCTGGAAAATGCAGGTCAGATCCAGCATCCATAACAAGATTGGTAGTGTCCATCCCTAGATGCATCATCCATGCACGTTTGGAGCTAGTAGGGCTTATAGTTACTTAAGAATAGACCTGCTCCAAAAACTTTAACCTGGTCACTCATCTGGAAAATGTAGGTCAGATCCAGCATCCGAAGCAAGTATGGTAGTGTCCATCCCTAGATGCATCATCCATGCAAGTTTGGTCCAGATATGGATTACAGTTGGGGTCAAATGCTGGTGAGGGGTGTTTTTTTAGTCACGGAGATTCACCAATAAAACGAGTTAATGCTCACCGTCTCAAACAGGTTCTGCCAGCAAATCACGTCACACATCCCCGTTTTGTTGGCCCTGGAAATGCTTAGACAGCTGAGTGACAGTGGCGAAAGGCGAGTCTCTGGCGCCTTTAAATAATTGGAACTTGTGACCTAAGGGAAGGAAAACCCTGAGAGAAAACCGCTGGTCTTCCGAGTCCAGGAGGTTTTGCTCAGGGTCAGCAACCCTAACATGTAAAAATCAACAGCTACAGAAACCAAAGCCGAGGATAATTGTACCAAGGGGAGGATTGAAACTATTCCTTAAACTGAACACATGAAGGATTGCATTCAAACCCAACAGGAAACTGACACCCAGATAGTGAATATCCTTCACCCTAAAGAAGTATGTAGAGTTCCTGGAATGTCCACACCTACTACCAGACAGGGAAATTAGCTCGTCTTAAAAGATATGGACATGTATAACATCCAAATGCTAGGTATATGTGAAACTAGATGGACAGAAAACGGGAATGGCAAACTTGCCAATGATCATCAGATATTGTGCTCGGGAAGAAACGACGAACAGCACAGCAGGGAGTAGGCTTAATACTCGGTAGGAAACTAGGGAAGTGCATGTTAGGTTGGAAACCATACAATGACAGACTTCTTTCTGCAAGATTACATTTAAAATATGCTAAACTGACGGTTGTAGTCTGCTATTCGCCTACAGAAGACAAAGAAGAAGAAGAAAAGCATTCTTTTTATGAAGAACTGCAGAGAGCTGTGGAGGAAACACCAGTTCATGATGTAATCATACTTGGTGATCTTGTTGCGAAAGATGGTACCAACAATAAAGGAAAAGAATCCATAATGGGAAAATATGGCTGTGATGTTATTAACAATAATGGTAGTAGAATAGTAGATTTTTGCCTAGAAAATACGTTAGTTATTGGAGGCACCATCTTCCAGCACAAGAACATTTATAAACTTACATGGACTTCACCAGATGGTAACACACAGAACCAAATTGACCATGAATTGATAAATAAAAGGTGGAGAGGAACATTGCAGGACGTAAGAGCATTGAGAGAAGCTGATGTAGGAAGTGACCACATAATTGTCCTAGTAAAGCTGAAATTGAAATTGAGAAAGATAAACGGTCACCCCAAGTGGATGTGAGCAAACTCAAAGATCCTGCAGTTATGAAATCATTTTAGCTAGAGGTTAAAAACCGATTTACCATCCTAAAAAAATAAACAAGAACTCAGTATTGACACCAATTTAACACCAGACTTATTGAAGCAGGAAAGAAAACACTGGGGTTAAAAAGGAAGAAGAAGGAAGAATGGATATCATCTAAGAACTGGGAAATGGTCGAACTATGACGCAAAACAAAGAGAAAAATAAGTCAGCTAGGCTAAAAGATCAGCTAAAAGAAACATACACAATACAAGACATGGAAGTTAAGAAAATTGTACGAAAGGACAAGAAGGATTATGTTGACAAGCTTGCGCAAGATGCAGAAGATGCTGCCTCAAAACAAGACATGGGGACATTATACCGAATTACAAAAACTCTGAGTGGAGGATTCAAAAGCACAGATAGACCAGTGCAAAAACAAGATGGAGAATTGGCCTCCAGTATAGAAGAAGAGCTTACCTGTTGAAAAGATCATTTTAAAAGGTATTAAACCAGGAATGTCCCTCAACAGGACATGCTGAAATTATTAAAAGTATAGACACTTTCGACATCTATACCAACACACCAACAATCGAGGAAGTAAAACATGCCATCAAACTTCTAAGAATGGGAAAGCCCCAGGGATCGATTGGGTACATGCAGAATGTTAAAAGCTGAAGAAGTATTAACACCCAGACTTCTCACAGATATCCTGCAAACTATTTGGCAGACAGAAACAGCAGCAGATGATTGAACGGTTGGTTTCAAAGTGAAGCTGCCCAAGAAAGGTGACTCAACTGACACAAATAATTTGGGAGAGATTATGTTGTTGTCAATCAGCAAAGTCTTAAGCAGAGTCATCTTAAACAGAATGGCCTCAGTACTCAGTTACTCAGTACCGGGCTCAGTACAACTCAGGGTTTTCTCAGTACCACTCAGTACTTCCTCAGGGTTTTGTTGGATTCTCAGTGCTTTTTAGTTACAGTAGTGAGTGGTAGACCCATACCTTCGTAAAGAACAAGCTGACGGTCAGTTGAAAAAGAGATGAAAGAACTGGGATGGACTTGGGGCATTGTTCAGCCGATACAATATATTCTGGTGAGCTTGAGATAAAAGATACCACAGAGTCTGACAAATTGATTAAATATATATATGTTGAAACATAACCAAAAAGTTAGACAATGTTTATAACTTTACAAAAAACATCCAAAAATTACAGTAAACTAATTTTGCATAGACATGATATAGTCAATGTTCTTTGAGATTGTGAATTCTTAAATATATATCGTTCATATAGAGAACATTAGGACGATTTATTTTAGGTCGATAAGGTCTGTCGGTGCACGAACAACATTTGGAATAATTTACGCATATAACTATTACATTTGCTTTTATTTCTTTAGTCAGTGGCGTAGCATCGGTTTTGAAAGTGGGGGGGGGGGGGGGCAGCCAGAGAAAATTTTTTTTTTACTTACATGAAAAAGTTGACAAACAAAAAAAAATAAAAGGATATTCAAAACAAATGACATTGAAGTTAACTTTTTCTCAGTGTCAACTACTTTCAGTACTAATTCTAATACTACATTTTCGGTACATCACTAAAAGTGGGGGGCCAACCAGGTTTTCAATTAACATTTCCTACAGTATAAGTAAGGTTGGGAAAAAAGTGGGGGAGGCCAGCCCCCCCCCCCGGCCCCCCCTGTTGCTACGCCCCTGTTAGTACTACTTAAAACATTGAACTCAAATTTAAATCAGTGAAACCAGAATTAAAATCTTAATAATATGTCAAAATTTCGTGTAAAATAGCATTAGAAACAGACGATTGGTGTCAGGATTTTCAAAGTGTTGTAGGATTTGAGTTTGCTGAAAATGACGTCGTCAAACGCGTAACCGGCGCAAGGAGATGTAATAAATTGTTTTGGATATGGTTTATATACATCAGAGACGGGGGAAAAAAGTACAGACGTGACTTTACACACTAGATTTTAACAGAGAAGTTGTTTTTATATGGCATGAGGTTCAATGAGAATTATCCCCCTATACCGAAATAGTTACAGCGTGTAAGAAGTAGAGTACTGTTTGTTAAACGCAGACAATGGGAAACAATCTGGGCCACGAACGACGTCAAACAACTTGTATTCTCTGCTGCCTACAATGTAAGGCAATCTTTCGACTAAAGTTCGACTGAAATTTGAATCTCCTAAAATATAAAACAAAACAGAAAAAACCGGACAGTAGTGAATTTAAATAAGTCCCTTAGTCAAAAGGGGTCTTTCACTTAAAAAAAAATATTGAATGTTAACAGACGCGCGTGAAGCATAATAAGAGATCATGACGTTATAAGGGACGTAAATAAAACTGCGTTTGCTTTCGTGCACCGATGTACACTTACATGCTTTCTTTATTTTTTCATATTTTTTTTATTAAATGTGATATCATGAAACTTGAAATGCATTATCATAAAATGTTACTTTTTTGCTATGACAAGTAAAGAAATTTAATTTAGAAAAAACAAACAATAATGTTTTCCCTGTCTATGACTTTTTGGGTCAACCTCGTATAAACAATTTCTAAAACGAGGTAAATTATTGACAAACAATTGATGAAACAAAAATATCAGCAGTCTCGTTTAAAATCATTATTTCGCCGATACAATGACCTTGTCAGCAAAAACAATTTATCATTGAGTCAATTGCTGACTGACGCTTTTTATATTATTGTTAGTCTATTATTTATACACTGAATTAATGACGGATTTTTCCGTTATTTCCCGATTATGACAAGGAGAACACGGCGGGTGTGACCGGTCAGGAGGAGATGCTCACTCCTCCATGGCACCTGATCCCACCTCTGATGTTTTAGAGGTCTGTGTTTGCTCTGTTCCTGTTTTGTATTGTTTTATGGACTTTGATATTGAATACTGTTCTTTATATCCATATCCTTCACAGTCAATGCAGTCAATGGCAGCAGACTGACAGAGATGGAGGTCCTCGGTCCAGGCCTTATGTTCTCAAAGCACAAAGAGGACTTAGTAAGTAAGGGCTTAAAGTTTCTTGGGAATGGACCTGCTCTAAAAACTTTAACATGATCACTCATCTGGAAAATGTAGGTCACACCCAGCATCCAAAGCAGACCTGTCCAATGCATACTTTAAACTTTATAAAACTTTAATGATCATTCATCTGGAAAATGTAGGATCCAACATCTGAAGCAAGTCAGTGTCCATCCATGCATCATCCATTCAATCCACTTGTGAATGGACCTGCTCCAAAAAAAATTACCTGGTCACTCATTTGGAAAATGTAGTTAGATCAAGCATCCGAAGCAGTTCCCTAGATGCATCATCCATTCACGTTTGGTCCAGATAGGGCTTATATAGTTAATTGGGAAAGGACTATCTCCTAAAACTTTAACCGGGACGCCGACGCCGCGGGTTTTAAGCCCATAGTTGAGCTAAAAAAATTTTGTATTGAAAAGCTTAAATGCGTAAGTGGTTCTTACCTACCCCTTAAAGCGAAAGGGGGGTCAATGATTTGAACAAAATTGAATCTACACTAAATAAGTATATTCACATGTTTTTGACTAACTGTGATTTTCGTCTATATAAATATGATCTATTATAGCTTTGCTGATTTTGAGAAGAAATTTTTTGAAGATTTTTCCAATATATTCATGATTTAAATCTTGATCGTCCATTTTGACCCCATCCTACCCCCAGGGGTCATTATTTAAATATATTTGAATCTACACTACCTGACATTCACAATGATTCTACATGAGATTCATCATTCCTGGTCCACTGGTTCTTGAAGAGCAAATTTTTTAACGAAGCCATTTATTTTTCGATTTTTCGTAATTATCTCCCCTTGGAGAAGGGCTTGGCCCTTCATTTGCACAAACGTGAATCCTCTTTACCAAAGATAGCTGCAGAACTCTAGCTCTCATCTTGAAAAATTTCGGACAGATAAAGCTGAGAGCTACAGATCCAAGCAATGCAAAAACTTTCAATTTACGTCGCTGATTTTTGTCGCTCACTTCGGGTATTATTAATTGTATTTTATACTTTCCCTTGCTATTAAAATGGTACATGTATTTAATAATTAAGCATACATATAACTCCAATTCCTCATAATTTACTTACTTTTCAATACTAATTATATACAGGACTGTTTCGGACCATTAAAAGATAAATATCCGTGTCAAAAATAATAGTTAAATATATCATTAATGATATGATACCATTCTAGAAGCCAAAGAAAGCTTTAACTACAAGAAATAATATCAAAAGTAGCGACAAAAATCGGCGGCGTAAATCGAAGGTTTTTACAACGCTTGGGTCTGTAGCTCTCTGCTTTATTTGTCCGAATTTTCTCAAGCAGAGAGCTACAATTCTGCAGCTATTCCAAAGAATAGTATACCATGTGGCTAGTTTGGTTGAAATTGGCTCAGTAGTTCTTGAGAAAAAGATTAAAATGTGAAAAGTTTACAACAACAGACTACGGACAAATTATTTTCTCTCCAGTCGAGGACAGATTTATTTTCTACGAAAATCAATTGGGCTCATTTTCGTTGGTTAAAACAAATTATTTTTTCGTGTTTAACTTTAAGAAAATTCGAATAGACTTTAAATTGTTTGAGGAAGATAAATTTGACGATAAAATCGATACAATAGCAAGAAAACTTAAAATTTTAGCATGTGATGGTCCAAGATCAAAATAGCTTTTTGCTTTTCCTTGTAATGAATAAACTAAATCACAAAATCATAAGAAAGTTAAGACATTCGAAAATGTCATGGCTAAAATCAGTAAAAGTTTCGTGTTATAACGCGAAATTTACGTGTTATATTGCAAAAGTTTCGCGTTAATTCGCCAAAATTTCGCGTTATATAACATTTATTCGCGGAAATTACGCTTTTATTTCCTAAAGTTTTTTTTTTCAACTTACGAAAATGAGCTCATGGGCTTTCGTAATTTTCAACATTTTCGAGGACAGGTGATTTA